TCCGGATATACTCGGAATTTCAGAACTTTCTCAACGGCATATCGTTAGTCAGGTAAATGTGCAACTTTGTCCCAATTTAACCATCGTCGTATCTTTCATAGTTTCCGAGATCCCAATGGTGAGGATCGAATTTGAAACACCCTGTATATTTATTTAAATTTAGGATTACTTGTAGTCAATGTCGTGTAATATTGACAAATAATGTACAATACAAGATACCAAAATAGTGGGGTGACACCATTTTTTTCACTTTGTATTACAATAAAGAATTTTTTGTGATTCACCTGGAATAGATGCCTAGTTTGACAGGACCCCAAGAAGTATCAATAATACTGCCGATGGAACCATTAACAAAAACAAGTTGTTCAAAAGGCTTCATTGCCGTTTTCTTCGATATGGCTTGAGCATAATCTGATATAGCTCTAGTTACGGGATCTCTAACTACTACGAGTAATTTAGTGGAGGGATTCATTAGATGCACTCTGCGAGGAGCCTCTTTCGTTATGAAGTACGATGGCGTTTTTTCTATGGTTAACTGTCCTTCTAAAGTAGCGGGCATGTGTGAACGGTACCACTGAAAGCCTTTCATATAATTTTTGTCGAAAAAGTGAACTTCACTGCCTGCTGCCCTAACATCAGGATGAATTCGGATGAATTCTAGAAGGGCTCGTGTACCACCTTTTTTCACACCTGCAAAAAAGTTAAAAGTGAGAATTACTGAAAGAAAAATTATTTGGAAAAACACATTTAGTCTGACCATAGCTATTACATTGATTGATGAAAGATTTCATGAAATTAATTGAAAATTGATTTCAAGAGAATACAGGGTGACTCTCCGGGATCTGCGTCGATAAGATAAGATGAGATATTTATTCATCTACAATTTTTTTTACAGAAAACAGTATGTTACAATAGTCACAGAACAGTTTTTTTGTTCAAGTACGTCACAATATTGTAGAGAGTATTCTCAAACTAAAAAAATATTTAATAATAAAAAATATGTTAGTGTATTGAAAATTAGATATTTACATATACCGTGTCATCCCCAAAGTATGCACCATATGGGAAACTTATTTATTATTAAGGGTTTTTCGACAANACACAACTATGGTGTTAACCACGGTCAATTTTTTTGAAGAATAAATTGATTTTCAATGTTTTTGGTGCAAAGTTATTTTAATTTTCCGTTTACACCAAAATTTACTCAAAATTATATAGTACTGTAACAAGAACTTAATATTCAATAATATCAAGTCACAAAACATCAAAATAAAATAGGTATTTCGGAACAAACTCATTGATTTTCTGGTGATTTTCTTTTCCAAAATAATAATAATCTCCAGAAAATCAATGAGTTTGTTCCGAAATACCTATTTTATTTTGTTGTTTTGTGATTTGATATCATTGCATAATAAGTTCTTGCTACAATATGGATCCATACTTTGGGGATGACACTGTATAAACAAGTCACATTTATACATATATGAACAGATAGATATTGCCAAAAGTATAATTAGGAAAATTATGAAAATTTGGAAATAGCAATGACGTTCAGTACAATTCAGTTAAAATAGCTAGATTGATGGATGTAGCCGTAACTTCAAGGTAGAAGATAATCATGAAAAATGAGATTTGAAACTTTCTATGTTTTTATATCACTTGTCACTTGAATTTGTAACCAACTTTATTACAGTTTCGTCCTTTAAGGACAAAGGAATACAATAAACTGAAATAATTGACAATACTTACCCTTATACACCTATACAACTACATTACCTGAATTCTGTTTACCTGTGAGAATGTGAGTTAGCTAATCTGAAAACCGGGAAGTAGACCAGGTCAATTCGGTCTATTAGTAGGTTACATCTGCAATGCTTGTATGAATTTCCGATGATTCCAAATAATTGAGTTTCAAACCCTTGCCTGAATAGCGCAAAACTTCCATATCGTTTAGATTCGAGAACTTGTGGTTGCATCCCAAGAAACGGTTTGAAAACGTCGAATAATTTTTACCTAGTCGGAAGGACCTTTCATGTTCAACATACCGTTTTGAGAAATTTCGATCACATTGTCTAACATAGGTCGGTCGGTCGGTAGCCGGTCAGTTCGACGTGGGTGCTTTGTTCACTCCCTCAATCGACCGATGTGTAAGTCGGTGGTTCAAGCCGCAGGCTGACCAATCGATTTTCACTTGCTATGATCCAACCCGTGTTAGAAATCACACATTAAAAGGTAAGACCTTGTTAGCCCTAAGCTTCCACAAGTTTCGACTTCTGCCTGCTTCCACGTAGCCCCGCTGGATACGGGAATGACAGAATCACTTGTGGTTCTGTTATTCCCTCGTCGTCTCCTCGAAAGCGGGGTACCTTATAAAACAGCCTTGCACCAAATTCTTGAGCGGCGTATGCAGAATCTGTCTCAGGTTGAGGAACAAACCCCCCCCCATGAGCAGGTTAGAAAACGTTTGCGCTCAAGTGATGATTCACCAAAACCAGAGGCGAAAAAGCCCTGCACGGTTGAATCTAAGGCATCTTCAGGTGTAGCTGACGTGCAAAAACCATCATATGGAAAGGTTGTCGCGGGTGTCAAAGTGGAAATCTTGCACCTTGACTTTGTGCCTGCTCCGCTGAGGACCGAATCAGGCAGAGCCGTACTCTAAAAAAGGTATGAGCCACAATAAACTCTTGCGGGTTGCGGTGGAGGGTTAAATAGACCCACTCACCCACGAGTAGCAAGGGAGTAGCTAACATGTGTATAGACACTGTAACTATAGATAAGAGCAGTTGCTTTATGTTCTGTTCTGACTAGTCTGATAAAGTTTTATATCTNTTTTGTGTTTCGGGCCAAAAAGTATCAGCTAGGATTTTTCAGAATTCAATTTCAGGTTATGGGCTATAGATAGATCCAGTAACTTTTGTAGATCGCTGTTAATTTTTTCCATTGCCACCTGCCAGTTACTTGGAGGAAGTCGATAATATAACTGAGTGTCATCTGCATAATGATGAACTGTGCAATGATCAATTATTTTATAGAAGTCAGATGTATATATAGAGAGAACAGAATTGGGGCAAGGATAGAGCCCTGAGGTACTCCATAGTCAACAGATAAAGCACTAGAACACTTTCCATCCAGACATACTGACTGAGTCCGATTTCTGAGGTAACTTTTCAATAGATTTACAGTCCCTTCACTAAATTCGAGAAATGACATTTTCCTACACAGGTCTAATGTATCGAATGCTTTGATGTAGTCCAAGAGTACCATGGCAGTTACATCATTATTATCAGTTGCTTTGAATAAATCTTGGGTGATGTTGACAAGAGCGGTGGTGGTGCTATAGAATGTACGAAATCCAGATTGAACATTTGTTATTTATTAATTTATTATTGTAAACAAAAGAATCAATTTGATCTTTCAGAATCCGCTCGAACACCTTAGATGGCAGTTTGCTAATTGGCCTCAAATGAGATAATTCAGTTGGTAAATTGATGGATATAGCCGTTACTACGTGGTAGGAGATCATGATGAAAAGAGAAATGACCAAATCGATTTAATTTACTCTCCGGTTTTCAAATTGGCACATGCGCATTGTGAACTGTAAATTCAGGTACTCAATCAAGTACCTGAATGGTATATATTAGCGAATGTAATGAATCATTCTTAGTTTATTGTTTAAGTTTGAAAATGTCCATATAGAACGAAACTGCAGTAACGTTAGTTACAAATAAAAGTGGTAAAAAACATACCAATTTTCATTTCTCTTTTCATAATTCAGTTAGATTTTCACATTTTGGCAAAGGGAGTACAATTGCATGTTTCCATGCAGAAGTAAAATGATTTGTTTCTATAGAGGAATTGTGATGTGGTTGATAAGATAATTTTCAATATACTTCAACATAATTAGAGAAATGTTGTCATACCACTGATGTATTGTTGAGTCTGGAGTGGTGTCACTCTGCGAAAATTCAAAGTAAGTCCATTAGGTATAGGTCTGATTATATCTTTCAATAAGTGTTTCATGATGTTGAGATTTTGCAGGATGAATAATATTTGTGAAGTGGAAATTTATTTGATTCAGATCTGATAAATCCGCGGAAAGGTTAGGGCTGTGTTTATTTTTCAAAATTTCAAGTTTTCTTGAAATTTGGAAGGGTTTATTCTGACTCACACCTATTCACACTCGACCAAATAAACTACAGCTCTGCCGAACTCTAAAAAACCTAATTCAGTCCCCAGCGGAGCAGGCACAAAGTATATGCTCTGCTGTTTCATCGTTAATGAGGTAGTCGGATAGTTAAGGTGCAAGATTCCCACCTTGATACCCGCGACAAGCGACAACCTTCCCATATAAGGGTTTTTGCACCTCAGCTACACCTGACGATGCCTTAGATTCACCCGTGCAGGGCTTTTTCGCCTCTGGTTTTGGTGAATCATCACTTGAGCGCAAACGTTTGCTAACCTGCTCATGGGAGGTTTGTTCCTCCACCTGAGACAGATTCTGCGTACGCCGCTCAAGAATTTGGTGCAAGGCGGTTTCATACGGTACCCCGCTCTTGAGGAGACGACTCAGTCGTTTCCTGGCTACACCACCAAACCTTTTTTGAGTTCAGTTATTGGATCAGGAGTTGGAGGGTTGAGAAGCTCTCGCTCCTGATCTAAATTTACAGGGAGGTCAGTTGGAGTGGTAAGCTCGGTATCCATTTCCTCTGTAGGATCTGTCCATAAAAGTCCCACGAGTAGCTAGGGAAAGAAGGTCAATCACGGCTGAGCCCTGCATTACCGTGACAAGGGGATGCTACGACGAGAGGGCGCCCGGTCTCTCGAAGGTCCCGTAGAGGTAGCTGATAGGATCAGAGTCATTCATCCTCTCGGCACGGATACACACACCTTAGGATTAAGCCATCGTTGGGATGCCATTCAGTTGTGGAATAACAGAACCACAAGTGATTCTGTCATTCCCGTATCCAGCGGGGCTACGTGGAAGCAGGCATCCGGTGGCCCGTTTGCTCAACCCCCACATCCCAAGCCAATGCACTCGCCAAAACCAGCATGCACAGTGGTTCAGGCAGTGAACTTCACATAACTTCAAGATATACTGCATTGACCGTACGACCATGTGGCAAGAACTGCTGATGCACTGCGCCACAGTAATTGAAGAAAATAAGCAAATATTTGACATTTATTTGAGATTGGAGTGCTTTTTTTGGTTTTGGCCCTTTTGTGCTCTTCCATTGGGACGATTGGACTTTGGTTTCAATGTCATAACCATATACCTATGATTCGTCACCAGTTATGACTCTTTTAAGTAAATCTGGACGGCCGTTGACGTCATTCAGCAATTCCTGAGCGATGCTCATGCAACGATTTTTTTGATCAAAATTCAGCAATTTTGGCCAAAATTTCCGAAAAAATTGCATGGCATGAGCCAACCGATATGCCGACATCCACAGCAACAACTCTAATAGTGATTCGACGATTCTCCATAACAATTTTGTTCACTTTATCAACATTTTCATCGGTTGTTGATATACTGAAGCATCCAGTGCGAGCGTCGTCACGCAAATCTTCTCGGCCTTCTGTGAAAAGCTTGTGTCACTCATAAATATTAGTCTGACTCAGAGTACCATCACCGTATGCCACTGTAAATATTTCAAGTGTTTTTGAGCACTTAACTTATTTTTTTCCGCAAAAATTTTATGTAAATTTGTTGATCAATTTTTTTTCGATGGCAAAAAATCGCCGAACATGCAAAACACTTCTAACTTTTATGACTGGTAAGTTTCCTGCACATTTGGCAAAAATAGAACATTGATGTAAACCCATTATGCTCATGTGATATTTTTTCTTTAGCAGTCCGATTTCGTAGATAATTTGCTTTCCTCGAATATTTCGTTGCCAACCAATATAACAGTCCTTTTAAGTAGACTCAATGAAAAAATATACAGGGCTATTCAAATTCGTTTCTGTACATGGGGATCTCGTAAACGATAAGAGATAAAGTGTCGGTTAAATTGTGGCAAAGTTGCGTATTTTAGAGACCTACTCAATGATGTAAAAAGAATCAAATATAGCTCTTTTGGTTCTGGAGATATACAAGAAAAACCAAAAAATCCCAAAATATTTTTTTGCCTATATCTTCTTTATTCGCAGACATATTGGAAATGTGTCCACATTTTGCTATTGTCACTTGATGTGAGCTATCAGAATATGTTCATGAATCTTTTATATAGGGTGTCATCTGACTTGGGCCACCCCATCTTTGAATTTATAAATACGGACCTGTATTTTTTGTTGTAGTTTTTGAATCATAGACGTTCACTTCATACTGAGAAAGTAAATTCAATTTTATATTTCAGGATGTTTAGGTAATATTTGATTACAATTGTGTGAATTATTCCCTTTTGAATTACGGACCTGGAAATTGGTTAACTGAGTTGAATAAAAACACAATAGCAACTTTCACGTCTCCCTGTGTACTGTAGAGTTTTTCGAGAGTTTTTTTTTCCATTTTTAGGTACCTACTCATATTTTTTTATATTGCTCTGAGCGTTTTCCACAATGAACTTCGAATAGGAAAACCTTTTATGATTATCTGAAACATATTTGATTTTTTACATCATTGAATAGGCCTCTAAAACACGTAACTTTGCCACAATTTAACCGATACTATCTGTTATCGTTTAAGGGATTCCCATGTACAGAAACGAATTTGAATAGCCCTGTATAATTTAATTCTAACATTCATAATTGAATCTAAACTATCTATATAAAATATAGTTACATGCAAAACAGCAGCAACTCTAATTATATGTTCGAAAATAGTGTACCAACATAAAAAAACAAAAAAATACTAATCGAATGTACTTAGCCCGCGAAATTCACATTATTTTTTGAACAGTCCACGTACATAAGCCGTAACTGATGAACAAGGTCAAAATCAGTATAGAAATGAACACATAAGTTATACTTATTCAAAAAACATTTTTCAAAAACGCAACACATGTTTCGCCATACAATGGCTTCTTCGGGGGTAACCAGGTCCATGGCTTGCTTTAGTAGTTTTTTGGAAAGAATGGAGTCTATAAATATCTACCTTATAACCGTTTTTAACCGCAATTTGTTTGATCAAACTCAGCTCTCTCTGGAAATTACTCTCAGACAGTGGAATAATCAATAGTCTTTGAAGCATACTATTGAATGCAGCAACTTTATGCTGGTAAGGGTGTGTGGAGGAATTATGTTTAATAATGTCCGTGTACGATGGTTTGTGGAAATTTTGGTCTTGTCTACGTTGAAGGAGAGTAAATTAGAATCAAACCACTGTTTGACTTTTTGTAAATCTGATATCATTTGTTTCAAGTTGTTACTATTTTTTTCATGCCATAACAAGCAAGATCGTTGATGTAAAATAGGAATAAAATGGGCCCTAGAACAGATCCCTGAGGCACTCCGCAATCTATAGCCGAAATGTCCGAAAACGCATTATTGACTTTTGTCAGCTGGGATCTACCTTTTAGGTAAAATTTGAACCATTCAAAACATGTCCCTCTTATGCCATAACAGTACATTTTTTTTATAAGCATATCATGATTGACACAGTCGAAGGCTTTCAAAAAATCGCAGAAAACTGCCGAAATTACTTCCCCATCATTCAGATGGGGAAGTAAACACATTAGTGTTTTTAGAGCTTCGAAAGCCAAATTGACATTCATTCAATATCTTTCCATTTGATAAAAAATTCAACAATCTTTTCCTCACTAGCTTTTCAATTAATTTCGAGATAGTTGATAATAATAGTTGATAATATTCTTAGAAAAATATGTGAAGCAACAAGAAGGCCCTAAAAAAGAGTAGCACTGAAATTAGTCTGCCGTACTTGCTGGAATAGCCTTTCACGACGATTCTACATCTTGAAGAATTTTATTGATGGAGCATTCATCGATATTGAATCTGAGATTGAATTGAGCGATAATAACCGGTTCAAAGTTAATGATATCATCGCCAACTTGCGGCCTTTAAAATTAGGAGTTGAGGCACTTTGTATGCAAGAGTCACTGCTTATAACTGTGGACATAACATTTCGATTTATTTTGGATAAATTGAATAACCAGTTGTCAGAGTCTACATGAACGTATTCAAGAACAACAAGACAACAGGCAGGATTATGAGAAAATGTTTAAGGAGGAAATGGCATTTTTTGACTCTTATGGTATCAGAGTAGAGTACCTGACGCTCGCCTATGGATATGTCCTGATAGTTCAGCCATAGAAGCCTAAAGAACATTGTCGTCATCAGGATATATCTGCAATTAACTCACAAGTAGGCTCAGAGATG